GAAAAGCCAAAAGGAGGGGAAATAAACATGTAGTGATGGAGACCTCAGATATATTTATTTATTTATTTATTTTTATTTATATATTTTAAGATAGAGCCTCATTTTGTCACCCCTCCGTAGAGTGATGTGGCATCATAGCTCACAGCAACCTCAAACTCTTGGGTTCAAGCGATTCTGTTGCCTCAGCCTTCCATGTAGCTGGGACTACAGGTACCTGTCACAACCCCCAGCTATTCTTCTTCTTCTTGTTTGTTTGTTTAGCAGGCCCAGCTGAGTTCAAACCCAACAGTCCTGGTGTACATGGCTGGTGCCCTAACCACTGAGCTATGGACGCTGAGCCAGAGCTGACTTTTTCAATACCCTGTCATCACAGGGAAGAAGGCAGAATTTTTCCACTCCACTCTCAAATATATAATCCTGTGTATCATCACTTAGTTCTTAACCCAGGCTTTTGAAAAAAATTATGCCAACAAAACATTAATTTGTGCTTATTTTTAATAGGTAAGACAATGAAAGGATTGTGGGTGTAAATTAAAATTTATCACAGGCAGTGCCTGTGGCTCAAAGGAGTAGGGCGCTGGCCCCATATGCTGGAGGTGATGGTTCAAACCCGGCCCCGGCCAAAAAAAAGAAAAAATTAAAATTTAAAATGAAAAAAAGTAGAAAGGTGAGGAAGGCGGAGCATCTGTCAGAGAATCGGCATAGAATGATCCCAGCAATGCCCCAAACCCTTCCTTGAATTCAGTTTATTATCACCAAAAAATACAGCTTGTTATTCCACGTGACCCAGTATTATTTAAAATACAATCTCTGTTAGAATATTTGAATCAAGCTTTCCCTGTGAAATTGGAATTTCTTTTGATTCTTTGAGTGGCAAATGAATTATCTTGGATACATAAAAATACTGTTTAGTTTTTAATTGAATAAGCCCTATGTGGCAACTTGTACAGGCCCTACATAACACCGTTTTCCCTTTCTGTTCTAGTGTTTCTAAGACCTCAGAGAAATTTGGAATCTATAGACCCGCAGTTTACAATCCGGAGGAAAATGGAGCAGATGAGAGAAGAAAAAGAGCTGGTGGAACAACTCCGTGAGGTACCTGACACATGTTATGTAACATAAGATGAATTTTCAGAACTGAAGCAACCTTCTGTGTTTTCTAAGAATAGGGTCAGGCACAGTGGCTTGTGCCTACAATCCAAGCCCTTTGGCAGGTCAAGATGAGAGGATCACTTGAGGCCAGGAGTTCCAAACCAGCCTGAACAAACATAGCAAGACCCCGTGTCTAGAAAAAATTTAAAAATTACCCAGATCTGGTAGCACACACATATAGTCCCAGTTACTTGGGAGGCTGAGGTGGAGGACCATTTGAGCCCAGGAGTGTAAGGTTTCAGTGAGCTGTAAGGGTGCCACTGCACTCCAGCCTGGGTGGCAGAGTTGGACCCATTTAAAAAAAAACAGACTTTTGAGTATTGCAAAAAATCCTAGTTTCAAATCTGGCTAGGTCATTCACTGACTGACTGATATAAGGCAAGTTGCTTAACAACTTTGAGTCTTAGTTTCTTCATGTATTTAAGAGGAATATATGAGATAACATAAGGAGAAATCCAAAAAACATAGGTATAAATGCCGGCACTATTTCAATTCAGTTATACTGTAAAATAATGCTCTCTCATTCATTTACTTAATAATAATATTCCATTCATTTAAAGATGTTTAGAGTTATCCTCACTTTATACCCTAAACTGATCAGCGCTTTTAAATTAATCATTTGACCGACAAAACATCTGAGTTCCGAGCAAAGACGATGTCGTGTGCTGGATACCATTGAAGAATTTAAGCTTGGTGATGGCAGAGACCGTGGCTGTCTTATTCCTGTTGCATTTCTTAGTTCCAGGCAGGTTCTCTGTAGGTAACCAACTCTGTCCATAAGGAAGGTTAAATAATAGCACAGGGCCAGTCACCAAAGAAGAAGACATTGGTGTTAGTTATTAAAGGCAGCACAGTATGAATTGCTACATAAGTTCTTTATGTTCCAAGAGAAATATAGCTATGAATTAGAAGAGTATAAGAAAGCTTTTTGGAAGAGGTAGATTTTATGTTAAATCTTGCCCTTTCAGTAACAGATGTTCATTGAGTACCACTCAGGTAGGCTTTATTCTAGGTGATGGAGAGAGGAGAGGACAAGAATGTCCCTGGCTTCTTTGGAAAAGATAGTAAATAAGAAGGAAACACATAAATATGAGTAATGAATTATGCAAATGAGCAATGACTCCTATGAATAAAATTTAAATTAAATTAAGGCAGGCTGTCAGCTTTGGCAGATAAAACTCTCTATATGCTTTAGGAGGTAGTCAGGAGAAAAGAATTTAAAAAAAAACAACCCTTTTACTACCAGTTCAAGCTATCCATAGTGGTTGATTCAATGAGCACAAAGGGGAAGTCAGACCTCTGTCATTTGCCTAGATTATTTAGATACGCTGCGAACTTGGAAGGTGGACTTCCTGAGATCTGTGCAAATAAGACAAAAAGCTGCGGTGTGCCTCAAGGAGTGATACCTTATGATTTTATCTTCAGTGGGCCATATTGATCAGTTATGTTTTGATTTGGTGATATAAAATTAGAAACTGAAAGAGTACCTTTAAAAATTGTGTGTACAGACACAGTTCCGAAAGAGGTTTACGTAACACTGTTCTATGCACCATTTTTCAAGTTTTCGGGTATTGTAAATCGCCAGATTCATTCGCCCTTTCATAGGCTATTATTATCCAGTTAAAAAGAACTTCTGTTACAAAATGGAAACTTTTATCTGAGGTTTTAAAATTGATTTATGAGAGGGCGGAGGAGGCATACTCTTCTCTATTCCTTTCATTAAATCCATCTAAAGTCCCTAGACATTATATATAAAATAGACATAAGATCCCCCTGAAAAAGAAAGATAAGAAGGCAGACTGGGTAGAGGAATAACACGGTAGTGAGCTCTGTGCTCTGTGGGTTTTCTCTCTCTCTCTCTTTTTTTTGAGCAGTTTGTTGCTTTCTGTAGAGTGCTGTGACATCATAGCTCACAGTAACCTCAAACTCCTCAGCTCATGTGATCTTCTTGCCTCAGCCTCCTGAGTAGCTGGGAGTACAGGCATTTGCCACAACACCCTGCCTAGTTTTTATTTGCTGTTTGTTTGTTTTCAAGACACGAGGTCCTACGCTTGCTCAGGCTGGTCTTGAACTGCTGAGCTCAGGCAATCCACCCGCCCCAGCCTCCCAAAGTGCTAGAATGACAGGCGTGAGCCACCGTGCCTGGCTCCGTGAGTTTTCTTTTTGCTTCACATATACGTGGTATCTCAGATTTGTGGCTGAAGTAGCTGGGAACCTGGAAACACTAATGGTCACAGACATTTTTTTCCTTGAGCCCTGACAAAAGCATGCTTTCTCTAGCCAGATGACCAGGAAACGGACAGCCTAGCAAGACAGAAAACTGTTAGACCTTAAATGCTCTACTCCAGCCAGACACCACAGAAAACACTGCGGTCCCACCCGCACTCACTCATACCAGCAAGGGCGGAGTCAGGAGGGGCTAGGATTCTCCCCTCACTGCGGTGGTATCAGAGAAAGTCAAATCAGGAGCCAGACATTTCTTACTCACTGGTCAGTTAGGAGCATCTGCCCCCACAGTTTCCGTGAAGGCTACTTGGGGAACCTGGATTCCCACCCCAACCCAGCAGGAAGGAGGCACCTGCTCCTACTCTCCAACCCCCGGCCAGCTGAGACTCAGTGGGTAACCTAGACTTCACCATTCATCTGGCAGCAGCAAGATGGTAGCAGTGCCCCCCAAAAGCCAGCTAACGCAGAGATTAAACAGGATCCAGGGTTCCATATCCTCATAATACAAAAACCATCCAGATTTTAATTGAAAGCCACTCATTATACAAGGACCAGAATATCTCAAAGCGAATGAAAAAAAAATGCAGATGACAGCTCTGCTCTGGCAGAGACGTTAGAATCATCTGACAAATATCGTAGAACAGCCCTGATAAAAATGCTTCGATGGGCAATTTCAGACATGACCTCAGCAGTGAACTAGAAAATTGAGTCAAAAAGTAGAAGAAGTAAAGGAGAACCGAATGGAAATGAAGAACTGAAAAATACATTATCCAAAATAAAAAGGCTCGGTGGGTGGGCTCCACAGGAGAAAGGAGGCGACAAGGGAAAGAAATGGAACTGGAAGGAAGAACAATAGGAATTATCTAATCTGAGCGACAGAGCGAAAACAGACAGAAAACAGATGAATAAGACCTGGGGGGCTGTGGGACTTTGAGGAAAGATCTGATATCCTGTCCAGGGGGGCTCAGAAGGAAAGCTGAAGGGGACAGGGCAGAGAGGCACTGGGTGGGAGGGAAGTGACCCCAGGCAGACTGTCTGAACCCGTCAGATTTGGTTTTTATTATCCGTTCCTTCTGTTTTTATATCTTCATAGCCAGTGCTTAGGAAACACTGAACTCCAGAAGTGATTCCATGATTCCTGTCATTCCACTAACAATTTTATAGATAAATGAATTTGTATTTATGAGAGAGATTTTCAATATTATTGGAAAAGATGTAAAATCATGCCAGTGTTTCCCAGGCATTCTTATCCTCATGATGTGAGTGCCTCAGTTCGAGAACACCTGTAATTGTCTTTTACTCAGCTGGCTGCCTTCTGATTTCCCCGACAGAGCATCGAGATGAGACTGAAGGTCAGTCTACACGAGGACCTGGGGGCAGCGCTTATGGATGGCGTGGTCCTCTGCCATCTGGTCAACCACATCCGCCCACGGTCCGTCGCGAGCATCCATGTCCCCTCCCCGGCGGTTGTAAGTAGCACCATATAAAGGGAAGCTAACTTTGGCCTATACAGGCTCTTCAGGGGCACTGCTATTGTTTCAGAATGCTAATAGCATCCCGAGCAAGGTACTCAAATCTTTTCTGTTGTGGTTTGCACTCTTAATAGCAGAAAAGGAACAAAAGAATGGGTCTGAATGAAGCAACATTTTTACTGTTAAAAAGGAGACTACTTAAAATATGTAAGTGACAGAAGGGTAATTTTATTTCATATGTCAAGCAAATTACTTTTAAAAAATTACTGATTAAGGTGCTAACTTTAAGACTATCAGAACATAAAGGTTTGTTTCTCCTAAGGGACTATAATTAGCACTGAAAAGGCTTTTCAGAAAGCTCCTTTTGGTTGGTACCTTCCCTTCTAAGTGGAATCTCTTTCCTCTATTCAGTTTTGGAGATTCTAGGAGAGCCCTGAAAAGATGTGGATTCTATGGAAAATATTATTAATAGCCTGTCAAGATGTCAGCCAGATAGTCATGAATTCACCAATTCCTTGCTCGGTCACTGTGCTCACGGACACACCTGAGTAATACTGGGGACGTAGTGGGAAGGTTAACATGAATGAGATTCCGTAATGACCCCCCAATCCTTGTCTTCAGTGTAGGGGAGATGAAACCTGGGTGCAGGGTCCTCTTGCTGGTACTACAGAGTAGGTTCCGAAACACAAGGAGGGTAGAGTTGGTGTTACGATCCTTCAGGAGAGAGCCAGGGAGTCAGGGATAGGGTTTAGGAGAAGAAACAAGAATTTCTGCTCACCTATTTGCTGTTTGTTAGGAAGGGCAGAAGAGTTTAGGGGCTTGGAATATAAGGTTTGGATTAAAATTCTAAGTCTCCCGCTAAAATCCATACAACTTTGGGCAAGTTACCTACCTGCTCTTTAACTTGATTTGCTCTTCTCTATAATGGAAATGTTCTTGGGAGGATGAAATGAGGTACTACATACAATCTGCACATAATATAAGTCATTATCATCATTGGTATTTATGTGGCAGATTAAAAAAGTGAAGAGCCCTAATCTCAAGATACAAGGTGCATAAAATGTCCTATAATTGATGGGTTGGGCAAAAGCTCGCATGACACCCTTGTGCCCTCCCCCCTTCCCCAGGAAAGTCTCACACTGGTGTTATTTGACCTATTTTCTTTTCTCTTGGCAGCAGGAAAAATTAGCTGATGATCTCATTTCAACTGCTAGTGTCCTTTCTATAATAATTGAACATACCTTTCAGATCTCCCTCTAATGTAGGACAGTAAATTCTGCTCCATGATACAATATGAAACTTTGCAGTATTACAAATGAGATCCAAAGTGCCACGTACTCATGGAATAATTGTTCCCAAATTATGAGAAAAACACTATGGATTCCTTGAACTTCGATTTGAACGTACAATCAACATTTTACAAGGTGTAAAAGGATGCGATGAATTGTGTAACTATACACGTTTGTGTATTTTATTTAGTGCTATAATCTTTTAGATTGTACGATGCTGCAATCTTTTAGAAAGCTTATGGATTTTGCCTTTTTTCTCTTTTTTTAAATAAAACTTTTAGCACTGAAAAAATAAGGGAAATAATGCCTGATTGGTAAAGAAGAGAAAATAAAGGAAGGCAGACAAAAAATAAACCATTCTTTATCTGACCACCCAAAGACAACCACTATTACCGTTTTGTCTTTACTACCAATGTTTTTTGCACATTTAAGTTTTTGATTGTGAGCTTCTCATATAGACTATTTAAATCTATTTTTAAAAATTTTTTATAGCCAGCAGGTGGGAGAGGGCGGGGGCAGGGGGCAAATTCACACCTAACAGGTACAGTGCACACTAGTCAGGTAAGGGGCACACTTATAACTTTGAATAAAACTGAACAGAAGCAATTCATATAACCAACACACATTTATGCCCCTGTAATATTCTGAAATTAAAATAATAATACTACTAAGTAAATACAATTTATTATTGAAATCTATTTCCCCATGTCATTGAAATTCTTGATTAAATACTCATTTTAATAACTAATGTATTTTAGCCTATGTTATAGTATGTTGTAGTTTTCTTAATTTTTTTTCTTTCAATAGATTTAGTGGGTACAAGTGGTTTTTTGATACATGGATGATTTGTATAGTGATGAAGTCAGGGCTTTCAGTGTACCCATCACCCTAATAGTCATACATTATACCCAGTGGGTAACTTTTGATCCCCAGCCTCCACCCACTCTCCCTGCTCTGAGTCTCCAGGGTCCATTATACTGCTCTGTGTAATCATGTATACCTGCCCTTCCTCTCCCACTTATAAGTAAGTACATGTGGTATTTGTTTTTTTGTTGTTGAGATACTTCATTTAAGATAATGGCTTCCAGTTCCACACAGTTGCTGTAGAAGACATGATTTCCTCCTTCTTGTGGCTGAGTAGTACTCCATTGTCACATTGTCACATGTCACATTTTCTCTATCCACTCATCAGTTGTTGGGCACTTGGGTTGTTGATTCCATATCTCTGAACTGTGCTGCAATAAACATATGAACACATTTGTCTTTTTGGTATAATGACTTCTCCTTTGGGCAGATACCCAATAGTGGCATTGCTGAATCAAATGGTAGGTCTGTCTTTAGTTCTTTGAGGAATCACTATGCTGTTGTCTATAGAAGTTGTACTAATTTACATTCCTACCAACAGTGTGTAAGAGTTCCTTCTTCACCACATCCACACCAATATTTATTAGTTTTCCACTTTTTAATAATGGCCATTTGATCAGGGGTAAGGTGGTCTCTCATTGTGCTTTTAATTTGCATTTAATGTTGGGCATTTTTATGTTTGTTAACCATTTGTATATCTTCTTTTGAAAAATACCTGTTCATGTCTTTTGCTCAGTTTTTAATTATTTGCTTTTTTTCTTGCTAATTGTTTGAGCTCCTTTTAGATTCTAGATATTAGTCCTTTGATGTGTAGTTGGAGAATATTTTCTTCTATTCTGTAGGTTGTCTGTATATTCCATTGATTATTTCTTTCTTTCTTTCTTTTTTCTTTTTTTGAGACAGAGCCTCAAGCTGTCCCCCTGGGCAGAGTGCTGTGGCACCACAGCTCACAGCAACCTCCAACTCCTAGGCTCAAGCGAGTGTCCTGCCTCCGCCTCCCAAGTAGCTAGGAACACAGGCGCCTGCCACAACGCCTGGCTATTTTTTTTGGTTGCAGCCATCATTGTTGTTTGGTGGCCTGGGCTGGATTCAAACCCGCCACCTTAGGTGTATGTGGCTGGTGCCTTAGCCACTTGAGCCACAGGCACTGAGCCCATTGATTATTTCTTTTGCTTTTCTTAGTTTAATTAAGTTCCATTTATTTGTTTTTGGTTTTGTTGTGTTTGCTTTGAGGGTCTTAATTATAACTTCTTTGCCTAGGCTAATGTCTAGAAGAGTTTCTTTGTACATTTTCTTCTAGAATTTTTTTAGTACCAGGTCTTACAGTCTTTGATGCATTTTTGAGTTAATTTTTGTATATGGTGAGAGATGGGGATCTAGCTTCATACCTGTGCATGTGACTCGCCAGTCTTTCCAGAACCAGTTATTAAATAGGGCCTCCTTCTCCCATTGTATGTTTCTGTTTGCTTTGTAGAAGATGAGTCGTAGTAGGTTTATGGTTTTAGACTTTTGTAGAAGGCACATGGCTTTATTTCTGGATTCTCTATCACGTTCCCCTGATCTATATGTCTACTCTTATAGCAGCACCCTGCTGTTTGTGGTTACTGTCGCCGTGCAGCCCCCTTCACATTGTCTAGGCAGCTCCCTGTGCTAGCCCACAGGCCTGGGAGAGTGAGGGGCCTCCAGTAGCTAGGATCTGGAGACACGGTGGGAATGTGGGAGTGGCAGGCACTTCTCCCAGCTCCTGCCCATCTTGCTGAGCAGGCTGACTCACTTCTCTCTCCTTTATTTTCAGAGCCTCCCTAGTGCTCTCTCTCAGGCTGTCAAGAGATGCTCTCTCTGACAATCTATCCCACTGTTTTGGGATGTGAGGCTGATCTGGCTTCAACATCTTTCACCCCATTGATCATCGGGGTTGATTTGGCGGATCTAACTGTCTTGGAGGGAATCCTCTTCCTCCCTCACCACTCCATGTGTGTCCCTCCCCGAGCTGCACGCTTGGCCAGAGAGGACAACCTGCCCTGAAAGAGGAGAACTGTTCTTCAGCCAGGGGTATACAGGTAGCCGTGCTCCCCTGCTAAACCTCCAAACAAGTTCTCAAGGTCCCACTCAGGGTTTTGGGTCCTCTCCATAGGAGAGCCATGTGCCAACTGCAGCTAGTCAGCCACCTTGAACCTGTTACCTCTGTGGTTTTCCTTGTTAGGAATGTGGTTTGTTTCTCAATGTTCACTTACCAAAAATTCCTCAGTGAGCCCAGCCACCTGGTCACAGCCAAAGAACCTGTTTTTACCTCTTATTGGTGCCATTGCTCTTTGCTTTGGGCAGGCTCAAGTAGGTGTCTCTGCCTGGAAAGCTGCACCCACCCTGCTTTCCACACCTCCTTGGCCTTTCAGCAAGAAACTCTGCTTCAGAGTTCACAGCAGGCAGGCTATTCTTGACCTCATTTGGAGGTCATGGACCTCGTAGACCTCGTTTGTTTCGTTTGTTTTCCTTTATAGCAACCCTATCAAATCTAAGAATTACCCTATCATAGTTTCCTTTACCTGTGAATATTTTCAGCTACACTTCTAGAGCTAAATGACCCTGGAGATTGTATCTTTCAGCTCCTCTGTTGTATCTTGAGCAACAAGTCTAGTATCTGACCCATTGTAAGCAAGAAATATCATTTTATCTGCCCCATCAGCTATGGATAAGAGTACCAATATCATGGCCAGCATTAAGCATTCCAGTTTTTCAATGCATGAAACTAATATTGTCCATTTTTTAATGCCACGCAGAGGAAATACAGTGGCGAACAGAATCACTGTGCTTGCTAGCATGCCAAGAGACTGTTCCTTAGAAAAATGGATTTATTTAGTCTTTAACAATTTGATAAATCATCAGCATCTCAATTGGTGTATTTGGTTTCGTGTTTGATTCTTTGACCGATGGTGAGGTTGACCCTTTAACCATTACATTTTTCCCAAGTCCTTTTCTACCTGAAACCACAAATAATCCTAGAAGAGACTCTCACTCCCCAAAATGGGGAATTAGTGGCTTGAAACTACACTTTCCATTAACTTCTTCTGGGCTGACATAAGAATTTTGAAAGATGGTGGGTATCTGTGGAGTTTCAGAACAGACCCTCCTAAAACATAAGTAGATGAAGGAAGAGAAAGATCAGAGAGACAAATGCCAGGGCTCAGCATGATGAAACGCCCCCCTCCCCGTGCCTTCTCTGCCAGCTCCATGCCTTCGCTTCTGTTATCCTCCGGTCTGTTCCTTCTGCTTGTATGAGGCTTCCCTCCTCCTAGGACGTGCCCAGTGGGGGGTAGGCAAAGCCTCCCAGGCAGCTGCTTCTGACATCTTTGTGGGTCTCATATGAAGGGCATGATTTCCTGTCTAGCCAACATGGAAAATAATTGTTTAGACTTGAAATTAAATTGTTACACATGACGATAGGCTTTGTTTGCTTTTGAAGGGGGCAGTCCTTTTCTTTGTTAAATAAATGCTTTACAAATTTAGACTGTGCTAACAATTGTTCTGTGCCTCTGATAAGATGGAGCAAGGGTCACTTCATCCTTACAATTAACAGGATAAGGACAGTCTTTGTAATACAGGGCCACTGTTGGAGTCAGTCGTGCTTCTAACATTAAGGAACCTGATGGTAGCATGTTTAAAATACAGCGGCAAAGTGTTTAAAACTTACATGTAAAAATTATAGTATATGAATCAGATGTACTTGTTACCTACCCCACACCTGAGAGATCATATACAGACAAAGTTTTGGGAGAGGCTTTTGGTTAAGTCCTGAACATCCACCATTTTCAGCACTGCTTACTTTGACATTACCTCTTTCTAATTGGCTTTGGCTGGAAGGAGATTAATTGACCTTGTAAATTCAAACCCTGTGTATGGAAATAGATTTTGTTGATGGGAAAAAGTGTATTATAAGTGAACTAAAGAAGGTTACACAACAGTATGATCCTGTGAAAACTGTATATGTGTGTGTGTGTGCGCTCATTCAGGTTTATGTGTACATATACATATACATATATGTGTAGAAAACTTCACATTCGTATTTATCAGTGTATAAACATCAGGTACATGTATGGCTGTCTGGAAAGTATCCAGCCATGTATGTCTCTAATTTTCATATTACATGGCTGAATACTTTCCAGACAGTCTAAATAAATATATAGATGTGTGTGTGTATATGTATGTACACATACACATACTGTGTTTCCCTGAGAATAAGACCTACCCAAAAAATAAGCCCTAGCAGGATTTCTATGCATTTGTTAAATATAAGCCCTACCCCATAGTCACAGGCGTGGCTATGCAGTATATCTGCATAGCCATGCCCTGCATTTCTGTGGAGATCAGTAAGAAGACTGGAATACCTTTTATCTGCCACAGCTGCTTTTTCTGAGCCTTTGGCACTTGGACAGGTGCACGTATGGTAACCACGGTCGCAGGCATCCTATTGCGCATGTCAAACAGCTAGGGGAAAGGAGTTTACACATCACTAGCGCCAGCCCCACCAACAAGGTCAGCTCCCCTGTCAGGTTCCAGAAGAAGATGACTTAACTGTATTTGAATAAATGTAGATTATTGTATTATACTTAATAAAGACATCCCCTGAAAATAAGCCCTAGTGTCCTCTTGAGAAAAAATAAATATAAGACAGTGTCTTATTTTGGGGGAAACATGGTATATTAACCCCTGGAAGAATACAACCCCAAATATTAACAGTCTTTATTTCTAGATGGATGTTTACCAGTAATTTTATATTTTCTTCTATTTGTTTATGTAGTAGTTTCTTTTTCTCCAATGGACATGTATTACTTTTGCTATTTAGAAAGGTTAAAATTTAACCTGTTATGAAAATGGTTTCCATTTTAATAATATGTTATTTCTGTATGTTTGTGTTGATAGCCCAAACTTAGCATGGCCAAATGCAGAAGAAATGTGGAAAACTTTTTGGAAGCATGCCGGAAGTTAGGAGTCCCAGAGGTAACATCAAACTTAGTTCCAATGTCCATGGTTTAGTAAAAAATTGATTTAATATGTGTGTTTGAACTATGGAATAGATATAAAGCTTTTTATATATTTTTAGTCTCAATCTTTCTTCAGGAATAATATTGAATAAGAATGCAAAATTTTAATTTAAATCACTCTATGGTAGGAAAATTAAAATGGCTTTATGCAGTATGTTCAATTCTGAGGAGAAAGGGAAAACAATTTAAGTAAATGTGAAATTCCAAACTTGAAAAAAAATTAATCAGTTTGATTTGCTAAGAGCAGAAATTGCTGAGGGTGCAAGTGAGCCTCCTGTGAAGTTCCATAGGATAGCACTGGGAGCTGATGGCTTCTTTATCCCAAGATCTTAAGGGAAGATCTTAATGGAAGTTGCCGACCATTTGTTGATTTTCATTCTCTGCAGTCGCAATTTGGGTGTGTGGCTCCCCAAAAATATCAACAGTGAAAATATTATAGTTAATATTATCATTAACCATTATCATATTAATAACAATGTTGGCTTTAACTATAGTTTGCGAACTATTTGCACTCATTTTCTCCCTTAGTTTGCTGAAGGCCCAATTGGCGATACCCTATAGCCAGGGCAGCTCTCCAGTTTGATACTTTTTTCCTCTCTCATGCTCAGCTCAGCCTCAGCCTCAGAGAGATGGTTGATTTGGGAGCTTGTAAAGACTTTGCAATCAGAACATAATATGATTTTTTAGGGAGATAGAAGCCAATTCATTCAGAATTTGAGGGTAACTGTGTAAGTTGAGAAGTTTATCATCATTGTGATTAACAGAAATGGATAGAAATTATATTTCTTACAATTTCTTCTATCTTCCCTAATATCCCAGAGACGATAAAGCAACTTAAAAATCTTATTGTATAGTCCTGTTTTTGAACATGAGAAAGAACTACATTTCAATATAATTCTACTCTGTCATAGGAGGGGTTAGTTTTTGAAAATAACAAAGGATTTTTTCTCTCTTTTTTCTTTCTTTACTCCTTTCCCCCCTTCCTTTCTTTTCTCTCTCCCTTTTTTTTCTTTTTAAAGCTTAGTGGGATTCAGAGGTAGGGGTTGGGGTAGGTTTTGAATCTTATTCCAGGAAAAAGATAGCATGATGAAAGCATCTTTAAGTCAGAGGTGTATCAATAAAAAGCTTACAAATTTGTTTTTTCAGAGTTTAATTTTTACATAATGTACTGGATGTCTTTGTGATCAGTTCTGCTTTCAACATTGTTAATTTGTGTGTCTATATTATGTGTGTACATTTTAGTATTGTGTATACATTCTTGGCTTTGACTATATGTGAAAACCCTAACAAACCTTTTCTAGTGATTTGATTCTGTCATGGAGTAGTAAAATTTCCCATGTGTGAATCAAAGCTCTTACACCAAGCTTCAGATGATGCTTCATTCGTGTCTGTGCTAGAAAGCTCTGATGAGTTATGACCTAACCTCCTGTAATGTTTTAAAATTCATCAGTGTTTTGAGGGATTACAGTGATACAAAGTGAAATGGAACTGCCCTTAACTTTTTATTGTGAGTAAAGATTGGTAATTGGAATTTCCTTTTAAGGTGGGAAAAAGGAAATTATATTACCATAAAGAATGCAGAACAAATTTACCATAAATTTTGCCCCTAGCATAGTGTTCTTAGAATGAATGGGCAACTCATAATTTCTAAGAAGGTTGAAATACCAGAAATATGAATGACCTTTTTTTGCCAATGATCTAGTTAACTATGCTTAGTAAGAAGTATATCTATCACTCAAGATATTTTAAAAATTATCTTTAAGGCTATAGGTGATTTCAGGTTTTGTGTGCGTGTGTGTTTGTGTACATGTACATGGATATCCATCCTCATGGATAATCTGCTGGCATGTTGCTTATGACTACAGTTGCTTTAAATTTATTGCCACTGGAAAAGTCTGTTAGCAGTTGAATTTCTTTAATGAGAATCTTAAGTAAGGAATGTTTTGTGGAAAATCAGAAATTCCCATCTGGAAAGCAATTGACAGATCTGCCCCCATTCCCCAAACAGTGAGTTTCATCTCACAGAACGCGTGAAAGTACGTTTTCATCTAGGAACTTAACCCTAAGTTAGGGATCAGATGACTTCTTTCTCCTTAGATATTAATATTTCTTTCACTACTTAGGCGGGTTGAAGTTTGAGTGTAAGTGTGGCACAGTACACTTGATAATTTACACTAAAAATATAATTGTATCACGGTACTACTTGCAAAAATACTCTGTCTACAGTTAGACGAGTTTCAAGACTGGTACTTCAAAAAAAGCAGAGGACCTATGTCATTACTTTTTCTTATTGTAGCAAACTTAATATTGGGGTAGTAAGATAGTCATTAATTTTCCCAATAATCAGCATAATGAATTCCCTCTAATTTGTGAGCTTTTTCCACTTCTTCATCCACAACTAAACCACACCTACACATGAGCCCTGGAGACCTTGAGTTCTGCATTTTCTAAGCTAAATATCTAATTGACAGTGATAAATCCTCCTGCAGTGGAGACTGAAAAGTCATAGCTGTGCTCTCCGCCTGTGCGTGTTGCTCTCTGTAATAGAATCAGTTTGAAACTGCGAAGTCGGGGCAGCAGTTTGTATAATTTTGTCACGTTCATATAGGTGGATTACAGTAACTAAACAGGTTTAATTAGGTTATTACATGTAAAGTAATACAATGGGATGAAAACAATTTTAAGATTGTTTGGATTGTTGTAGTTTACTAGTTTACTGCATTTTTCTTTGGAAACTCCCATGAACACGACCCCAGATGTTTGCTCCAGGGTTTGTTGAGGTTCATGAAACATTTACAAGTGCTTCAGCAGCCAGAACCACAGGACCACTCTGTGGTTTCTCTAACATCCAGGAGATGTGTCTGGGCAGGATGTGGCAGTATGGCACCTAATGTTGCTGAATAAATAATGACTTAACAGAGATTAGCAAGACTGTCTCTCAGGGGTATTTTAACCTTGATTTTTACAGTAGGGTAAGAGAGAATGGTTGTGGTGTGGTGTACCTGGGAGTGTGGCTTTTCAAATTGGCTGCCTTGAGAATTCCAATGTAAAGCGCCTTTCCACATCCTTTTGTGGTGGTAACGCCTGCTGGTTGGATTGTAGCGGCTGTTTTGAACTCTGTGCTTGCCTCAACTTGGTCTGGAAGACAGGCTTTGGTGGGCGTCCAAATTCTTCAAGATATATACTTTACATCACCTCAGAATCTGGTTCTAATTAGGCCTTAGTAGGCTCATGAGGTTTTTTTTTTTTTTCTTTTCTTTTAATAGATATACTGAGGCTTCCTTTGCCTTTCCTGGGTCAGCTTGGCCATTCGAGAGAAATTTCCAATTTATAAAGCATCAAAAGTATTAGACAATACATAATTATTTGGTTCTCTAGGGAAATTTTTCTACTCAATTTTAAGTAAGTAGCCGTGGTCTCAGACCTCTAAGGATGAAGGTCCATAATTGACCAGGTTCTCCCTCTTAGATGAGGAGCAGACTTAGAATAGAAATGCACTTTGTTGACTAGCGACCGGCCCTTCACCTTCCTTATCTCTAGAGAGAAAATAGAGAATTAAAGGTAGCAACTTAAGGTGGCGCCTGTGGCTCAAGGAGTAGGGCGCTGGCCCCAAATACTGGAGGTGGCGGGTTCAAAACCGGCCTGGCCAAAAACTGCAAAAATAAATGAAAATAAAAAAAAATAAAAAAGATTTTTAAAAAAGGTAGCGACTCAGTTAGTGATGGCAGATGTCTCAGAAGTTGATGGCCCCTTCCTGCCTGCCTGGCAGCCTGGGCTTTTGTTTCCAGGACTGTAGGAGGTAGAAAGTTTTTATTCCATGTGTGTGAGGACAGGTCACTTGGTGCCCCTCTGCTCCTGCATCAGCCAAGCTAATAAAATCTTAGGCTCATCACCCGTAGCTCAGTGAGTAGGGCGCCAGCCACATACACCAAAGGTGGCAGATTCGAGCCCAACCCATGCTTGCTAAACAGCAATGACAACTGCAATCAAAAAATGGCCGGGTATTGTGGTGGGCGCCTGTGGTCCCAGCTACTCGGGAGGCTGAGGCAAGAGAATCACTTGAGCCCAAGAGTTTACTACTGAGGGTGACATAATGAGAGACTCTGCTTCAAAAAAATAAAATAAATAAAATAAAATGAAATGAAATAAAATCTTAAACTATGTTCAGATACTAACAAAGATCGTGTTGATATAACTGGAATTATGGCTGAGTTTTTCTTCCTTTAAGGACCTTCCATATTTGCATTTTTGTTGTTTTCTACTTTACACCCATTGTGAGGGTTCATGAAATTGTACGTACCCATCTAATCAAAACTTTTTGCTATTACGTTCTATACACCGAAGCTACTGTGTTTTTACTTTTAATCTTGAGAAACTGCTTCTCTTCTGAGTCTTACGCCTCTTTTTCTTCCCCACATCAATGACATTAGTATTAATTTATATCATATAACTAAGACTTCTGGGGGAGAAGGTATGAGATTCTTATTATAAGATTTAATTGGTTAATTCCGAGGCTGAATAATCAGAGGTACAGACTGACAGGTTATTATTTTATTAAGATAAATTTTTAAATTCAGAATTTATCTTAAAAGAAACTCTAGCTTGTAAAATTATTGACATCTCTCACAGCCAGCGTGTGGATCATTACAAAAGTTTTGAGATACACGAAAATCAAGAAATAGAAAATTTGTGTGGACTGAAAACAAATGAAGCCCTCCCAGCAAGACCAGTAAGCCAATAAGTACTGTTGAAACTTGCAGGGGCAAATCAGAAAGGATGCTGTTGACTGTGTTTCTTTCAATTGAAATAATCGAACATAACACAGTCTGTCTCAAAACTGTTATAGTAACCTACTTATATGTTTACTGTTCAGATAAGCATCCTTTCCCAGGTGTAAGTCTCCTGGTCAGGGGTCTGACAGCCTTTCATACATACATAGTTGAGCATAAATAAATA